CTGAAATTCTCTCCAGTGAACTTCAGTACCCCTTTATAGTAATGGTGTGCGTGATATTTATCTCTCATGATCTGCAATCCTACAGCTCTGATACCACTTGTTGGGAAATTAATGATCCTGTATAATTTCTCCTTCCACAGAAAATATCCAAACACAATCACAATATGCAAATAAAGAAGAAAACTGAAAAACGACACAGCAAATTATATTTGTTCACCACCAAGGGTTACGTCCAGTCCTCCACTCATATGTGGGTAATTCACTATTAATGTTATGGATTAGTTACAATAACTCTCTAAAAAAAATATCTTCTAGAGATCCCAACAAAAGTCCTCTAGCATCTAAGTATTTTAACACAATTAATACTTAGGTACAAGAATGAAAAACTCACAAGAATCAAGATCTAATTACCCTGAATATGTTGATCTTGATTAGCCCCAATGCCTCTGCCAATACCCGAGCCTCTCCTTTCAAACTGCCACAAAAACCCTTGAAAATTGGTTGAAACGACTCCAATTTTGGCTCGGAAAAACCCTAGAACGGAAAACTGCTATTTATAAACATCGACACAGTGCCATGGTACGAACGAACAAACACGCCCACGCGCCCATTAGGACAGCATCGAGGCGTTGTCCCCTCGTGCCATAGCGCACAGCACCGCGGCGCTGCACTCTTGGCCCCCTTGTCCTGCAGCATCCGCTTCCCATGTTTTTCATTCTCGCTTCGATCCTGACACATCCCGGGTTGATCCCGACTCATCCCTAGCTCGTTTCAATGTCGTTTTGGCTCCAACAATCCCAACAAAATGTGCTGCGCATAATTGAGGTAACCTTTTCTTTCCCGAACTAATCACTTTCTTGTGCCTCAATCAAGGTGTTAGATACTCCGTGACCCGTTTCAAGAAGACTCACCCAAGACTAACCAAGTGCAAAATAGAGCGAAAATTTCCCATAGTAGAAGATGAGAACCTTAATCAGCTCTTGGGACATGCCTTAGCATGGGAAGTAGCTCACGATTCTTCACCACCTTCTGAAATTTGCGCCTTGCAAGCCACTATCCGTCAATTAGAAGCTCGGTTGGAAGTAGTAGTCCAGCTTAATCAAACTTTTGCACGATAAATTAAAAGATATCTTTGAACTTCCACTTTGCTGCAACAGCTTGACCCAAACGTTGCATCCTTTTCTCAGCCGTCGGATCCTAATCCTACTCATCTTTCTGCATGAGGGAAGCTTCGTTTCATTTCATTTCTTTTGTTTATTTTCTTTTTGGTTCGATATGATGCATGTTTTTTATTTCTAATTCTTGTGACTAAATTATTTTAGCGGATGCAATAACATATTTGAGCTCCTTCCTATTTCAACTTTCCTTCTTTACGTTAGCAATGTTATATTTATTAAAAAGCATGTTAAAGTATGAATCCATCTGGCATTTTGGTGTGCCTTGTCTCGGTGATGGTTTTAAGCATTAGATAGACTTTGCTTTCGTCTGTTTGATAAGCCATGAGCCACTGTCACCTTCTTTTCAATACATTTTTTCTTTGCTTTTCAAGGGGTCTTTAAACTTAATCATGTCAATTTTTATTTTTATTTTTTTTTTTTGCGAAAAAAGAGTCATTGGAAAGAAAATGCATTAAAAAAAAAGACTTTGCAAGAAAAAAAGAGTTGAAAAATGTTTTGTGAGTTCCACTATAGACACTTGCTGTAGCATTAGGTAGATGGCGTAAGTAGCCTCAAGGATAGTAACTTGGTCTAGTGTAATATCATGCAACTCACTGGAGATACGTTATGACTAGTTGTTATCTGAAAGGCCTCTACAAAGTGTCTGTGGTGGAAAGTCGAGGTAGTGTGTACTAGAAACCTCAGGGACTAGTAAGAAGATCTCCAAATGTAAAAGTCTTGAGTAAAAAAGGAAGTGTGATTCTTTAACTTTGTTAACAAGTTTTTGTGTTCGAAGGAGGAAATGATTTTTAGAAAATTATATATTGGCTTATAGTGAATTGACTTTTAAAAATAGGAAGAAGGTAAAGTTTTGATAAGATTTCTTGAGGCAACATATGAAAGAAAGTCTTGTCTATCCTTGTGTGTTTCACATCATTCATGATTGCTACATGTGGATTGAGATCTATAATTTAGTTAGAAGTCAAGTTTGGAAGTGTGATTTTCTTGTTTAGAAGGATAAAAATTTTTTAAATAGGTTATTTTCTGCTTTGTTTTGTTTACAAATCATACTTTAAAGTTTAGTTTTATTCTTGAATTGTGCAATATGCCTTAACATAGTCTAATCATGCACATATTATATTTTGGCAGCAATTAAAGTTGAAATATGATGAAAAAATGTTTTTATACAAAAAATTCTACTCCTTAATGAAAAAGCGAGTTTTGGTTTGCTTTTGAAGCATTTACCTCTGCACAACGTGTCACTCATGCATGAAAGGATAACTATACAACAACAAATTCAATCAAAGGAGTTAAAAAGCCATGGTTGTCCCCAAAGGATAGTTTGGGTTCAAGTCACCTGGAACGCAACTTTATTCAATGTATATTCAAATTCTTCACCGGCCTGAATTATTTCTACTTTTGTTTTAAAACTTGTTTTCGTTTTAAAAGTTAGCTCTTTTACATCTTTTTGTTTAGTTCTTAACCAATTTCTAGCTTTACATTTCTCTATTTTTATTTTGCCACTTTTATTTAAAATTCCAGCAACATTCACTATCTTCATCTCGTTTTCATCTTGTTACATAAAGAGAATTTTGTAATCACACACCTTTGTAGAATTGAACGAGTTTTCACTTCCCTAAACTCGAAAGAGACAGGTAAAGTTCATTTGGATTGCCACCTTTTCTGATTTTACACCTTGTTTCTCACCCCTTTCTGTTTAATTTGATACTCAATTCAATTATGCAGGTAGCTAAGTTCCATTTTCCTAGCTCGATTATGGAGGATTAGCTAAACTTTTTAAAATAAAACAACAAAGACAAAAGTAATTTCCAATACTCTGTTATCACTTTAGTTGCTTTCAAAAGTTAAGAAATTAATTCGGCAATTAACGAATTAGCGATTTCAATACTAAAAAGGTTGAATGTCTTTCTTACAACTTAAGTGATTTAACTGCGGAGAGAAAGACTTTGGCAATTGTAGGTATATTATTGATTACTTTTATTATAATAAATTAAATATAGGTGTAGGCGTATATCGTAATCACTACCCTTAATCAATGTTTAGCTCAACGGATAACTCAACCGATAAGACACCGATTATCATTCTAAAGACTGATGTCTCAATCTCCCACCCTTGCAAAATATATATATATATATATATATATTAATATTGAAATGTGGTGAGTTTTAATTGATGTATTCTATATATGGTGATTTTGTGACCATCCAATTTTTCGTTAATACAAGTGAAAGTCTAAAGTTTAATACGATGAAATTAAGCCAACATGCATATAGTTTAATACAATGAAATTAAGCCAACATGCATATAGTTTAACGATTAAGATATCTTGCCTTTTCTTAAATATTAGAGGTTCAACCTCTCGTCCAACTTTTGTTTACTAAAAAAATTGATGATATCAATATTACTAAGGTTCCATCTCAAAACGAGAGGAGTAGTCTATATTTATTATAGACATTGGTAAGATCCCGTTTATTTTTAAGGTGGGGTCGTTAGCGGATGAAATTACAAAGTTAGGTAAGGTTAAACTTACTTTATCAAGATTTCAGGTAAATTTTGAATTTCCCCAAAGAATATATAAAACTTGATAAACTAAAACAAATAAATCTATTTTAACATATCTTGATATTCATTAAAAAAAAATTAAACTTGCAATAATTTGATATTCTTGAATATCTAACCTTTCAACTGCTAAAATTAAATATATATCAATTAGTTAAAGTCAAAATGTAAAGAAATTTAATACGCTGAAATAATATTTGACAGCACTATTATTTACTGTTCTTGTCAACTTGTCATTTTCTTTAGATCATAACTTTTTCTATTCCCATACACATTTCATAATGGAGAAAAAATAGTGAATGATTATATCATGGCCTACTTCACCAAATTTGTCATTGGTAATTATTCAATCTATCAGATTTTGAGTTTAACATGTTAAAAAATAAAAATCTATTTTTACTCTTCCAAAGGCAACTTACTTTTTATCATAAACTTTCGCTCCATATTCGCTTTATCATTTGAATCAGGGGTGGATCCACGTTGGAGTGGGAGTACGTGTCCCTTTGGATTTAGATTAAATACTATGTAGTTCACTAACTTTTCAAAATTAAATAATTATGTTTGATTTGTTGGCGTGAAAGACATCCTAAGCGCGAGGAGACGCCCCCATGGTTACTTTTTTAAATTTTATTTAGAATTAATCTAAAAAGGTGAGTTTTAATCCAAATATATAATTGACAAGTAAGATTTCAATTATTTTTATTTTTTAAAAATATTATTATTATGTTTTAGGTCTGAAATATTAATTTATTAATATTTTTGTACATTTAAATTGAGAAAAATTATAAAAGAAAAACAACAAACTGAGACGTTATGTTTAGTAATACTCATTCTGATAGATCTGATATAGAAAATGCAATTTAGGAGAACTACAAGCAGAGATCCAGGTCTAAGAAATAAAATTTGTGATTACAATTATAACTTATATATGAATCTATGAATATTTTAAAAAAACTTCTATCGTATACTATTTTAGCTTATTTTTATGTATTGTGTTCCTCTGGATCAAATTTCTGGATTCGCAATGGGTTTCAATAATAGTTAACAAATTATCACATGTAATTAATGGATCACAAAGTAAAGACATTGATGCGGCTTCAAAAGAAAAACCAGACTTTTCCCTCCTTTTCTATTAAAAAATTGGTTAGCTTTGGGAGATTTATTTATTATATATATATTTTTAATGATTTTTTTGGGAGATTTATTTAATGGTAAATTTTGTGAATTTTATGCATTAATTTGTTAGGCTTTATTTTCGTTAAAATGGGTAAGTTTTGAGAGTGTTTGGGGAAGGGAATACCCTGGACACGTGGAGGATCCCTATTGGTGCTCCAAGATGGCTCATGAGTCATCTCCAGCTCGGATGGCCGAGATGGCCGCCACCAACGCCGACAAATGCTAAGTATGAGGGCCGAGGTGAACCTGGCCCAGGTCCGACCTACCGGGGAGCTTGGTAGGGGCCGATGTGAGCGGCTGTCTACGGCGTGATTATCGGGCGTAACCGTCGGTCCCGGGATTACCGGGTGTAACCGACGGTCCCGAGATTACCGAACGTAACCGTCGCGAGATTAGCGGGACTACCACCCATAAGTAGAGGACTTCACTCCACGATCAGGTACGATGATTTCTGGCTTCGAACTAAACTTGGAATCCGACC